ATGTCCATGCCACTCTCTCACTTCGTCCCAGCTTACCCTTCCCCCTCCCTATAACCTTTTAACCTTTCTGAGTTTCATTCACTTCCCTCTTCTCTCTCAAGGCCTTGAACTCTGAAAAACCAGAGTACTTTTCTCTGGCTGTAAGGCAGTCATTTTGATTCCTCAAAGCCCCTTCTAACTCTGACTTTCCCGTTTTATTCTAATTAGGGTTTTCTGCTCTTTATAAAATTTATATTTTGTTTTCCTCAGCCAAATATGAATGTACCAGATAATTTTTAAGTTGATTTAAACATTTTTTTCCTCCCCCCATCTAAGCGGCAGTTAATTTTAAGACCAGCCTTCAAGCAGTGTAGAAAGCATTTTGAAATTAGTGGAATCCCTCCTTTTTCTACTTTGGCAATTTTATTTCATTATTATATGAAGATTATTAGAAATGTAAAACTATAGGATACTTTTGAGAAATTAATATTGCTTTAAAAACAATTGCCACACCTCATCGATTTAAGTGTGTATGAGAATGTGAAGGAATGTTGGATATTTGTTAAGTGAGGGGTTTTTTCTTTCCCTCTTTATACCTTTATACCTCTTATTTTCTTTCCCTCTTTATACCTTCACTTAACAATATGCCTTCTTTCCTATAACTTTGTACACCTCCTTTTAATTATTTTAAAATGAAAATTTATCTCATTAAAAGATTTTTCACATTTGCAAATTGGATCTTGGAGGCAGGCCCTCATCCCAGCTTCAACTCTTGTCCGTACTGTGATTGGACAACGGCAGGGAAGAGCTGCTGGGGAGAGCCGAGCTCTCTGAAGGATGGCTGGGTGCTGGTCAGGGGCTCCACTAACCTGAACAAGTTTTCCGAGAGGAAGCTTTCTTGCCAGCCTCATTGGAACCTTGATTCAGTCCCCACATAACGTAAGGTAGTCAAAGGTAGGATTTGCTTCTATGTTAAGTGGAGGGCCACTCTGCCAAACTCCAGCCTTTGGAAACTTTGGCACTGGCTTAAGCCACTTAGAGACTGAAAACATACCACAGACCTTGGAATCCAGAGACAAGTCCAGAAAGAGACTTTTTCACTGTGCCCCATATATCCATCGGTTCCACTTGGCCACTAGTACAGACATGTACTCCTTTTTATGATGTCAAAAGAAGGAAAGTTTTTATTCATGATTCTAAAGAAAAGCTTCTGTGTGTACATATAATCAGTCTGTATATGTGTCCGCAGACTTGGGGCTCCTTGTCCCCTCCCATGTGTAGTTTTCCTTCTCTCTATCAAGCAGCCTCTGAGGACATGGGTGTGCAAATCAATCCCAGTTGCCTATAATTCTAAATCTTGAACAAGTTCTATCTCTTATTACTAGAGAAAATAGCACTAAATAATTTTGAGGGGTGTGTGTGTGTGTGTGTGTGTGTGTGTGTGTGTGTCCTTCTATTTCCTTTTCTCTGACTATAAAAGTGGTCTCTACTCATTTTTAAAGTTTATAAAATGTAAAGAATAATCAAATCCCTTGTAATCTCCCCCTCTTTAACAGCCTCAGTTAACATTATGAAATAAATGCTTACTGTCGTGTTTTCTATTCATATTGTATTTTACATAGTTGACGTCAGACTAAATACAAACTTTAATTTAAAAAAATATTCACACTTTCTTATGCTATTAACATTTTTCATATATGGAAAAAATTGGCTGTAGAAGAACAGTCATGTTTTAAAGGAAATAATTGAATCACAAAATTATGGGAGACCTATTTCATGCATTTATTGATTTCTAAAATAATACCAGTGAAAATTACTGTGCTGTGGCTAATACACTAGTAATTGGTCATATCAGCTTCCTTTAAGTGAAGCACTTAAGTATTTGCCTATAAATTTTCAATACCAACTCACTAACTCATAACTGAATAGTAGCTGAATTTCTTCTAATGTTTTGTCCTGGATATAGAATAGTGTCTCTTGACCTTTGTTTGGTCACCAACCCTCTGAGAAGTCAATAAAAGATATGAACCTTCTTCACAGAGAAACACATATTCCCACAAAAAACTAATTGTAATGATAATCAATTATGATATGCCAGGTACTCTGCCAACTGCTTTACATAGTTGTTTCACTTAATCCTCATAGCAGCACTATAAGGAATATACTGTTACCCTTATTTTTGAGATAAAGACATTGAAGCTTTAAGGAGATTAAGTAGTTTGCACATGGCCTTAGAGCTAGTACTGGAGCTCAAACTGATTTTTATGACCCAAAGCCCATCTCCTCAATCATTGGGCATCTAATTTTAGGGAGCTTATAAATTCCTAAAGCCTACTTATTGATACTCAGGTTAAAGGCACCCTACTATTGCAATCCAAAGATTTTCCTTGGCAGTAAAGAATATGTGTAATTAGTTAATCTTGTTATTTCTGTAAATTAATATATAGGTATTTGTTGGACATCTACTGTTTTTAATACTTGCTACGTTCTGTGATATGGTCCTTATCCCTAAGGACTTTACTGCCTACATGGGAAGACAAGAATTACATATATAAAACAATGAGGAAAAAATGTAAATATGAAGTTGAATATATAGTAATTAAACATTTCCATAAGCTATACACAAAAATTAATCTCTTTACTTTGTCACACATGATGTAATTTTCATTCCCTGATTTATAAAAGGAAAATCAAATCTAAAAGGCCACCATGTCCTCTGGGAACCTGGAAGATTCAGTGTGTCATAAAATGAGGTCTATAAAGTACAGCTCTGACTAAATATGTATCACATCCAGATTCCTGAGTGATCTGATCAGCATCCTGTCAACCCCAGGGGGCATGCCCAATAAGGAGATTCAAGAATGTGTAGCCACCTCTCAGGCATTCAAACCATGTATCATAGGGCAATCCTGTTGAACTGAACATGTGTAGGGCAGCAGAACACCGTGAGAGTTGCTGCATCTTGACTCAGGTAGGGTTCCTACTGACAGAGAGGACTTCAGATGATGCAGCATATCTGTTATGTCATACGGGAGCAACAGTGATAATCTACCAACCTTGGATGAAACTACCAGGCATGGGAAGCTTATTTAAGCTGACCACCTGACAATCAAGACTCAGAAAGAGTGGCTGTGGCTGTAATTCAAAGAACTGCTTTCTACAGGAGCATAGCATGGGAAAGTTGTACTTGTAATTGAGCAGTGGCCATATACAAGGTTATCACAGATAATGGCTATTGTAAGATATGAAGGATGGATTCTGTCAAGCTTTTATTAACATGGCTCTCATCATGTATTTGTATAGTCTTAGAACTTTACTTTTTTAAAACTTTAATCATTTGGGCTATACATATAGAATTCATTTATAAATGGCCTATAAATTTTCTTTCCAAAGTAAATAGAAACTTAATGTGCTAATCATTCTATATCGTTTATCTCCTTCCATTTGAGTCATTTTTATTTAAAATCTCTAGAAGAAGAATATTTTGTGTTCCAGTTGTACAACACTTTGTGTTCCATACAATTCGTTTAATAACTTGTTTTAAATTTCATTTCACATAATGTTTTTGTGTTCCCTGCAACTTACCTTGATAACATTTTTTAAAGTAGGTCGAGGATTTTATGAAAACCTAGTAGACATTTCCTAGATGGAAAGTATTTTTAAAGAACAGAAATTCCTGTCATTGTTCATAAATCATCATTTGAATCTATGCAGTTACTAGTTGTTTGAAGTAATTTTCCAGACATATATGCAAATATCTTGATGGATTTTATTTAATTTCAAAAGACTAATATGATACCAGCTTTCTATAATTTCTTAAATTCATTCCTGAAGAAAAATATAATTGAAAGGAAAACATTCCTTTTCATATTTGCTTTGAGCAGATACTTGTTATTTTTGAGGTAAATAGTAGATTGATGTTAAATGTTTATCATGCTTTGGCTTCACAGAGAGAATTCAAGGCACAGTTAGTAACTGTCCAACTTTTGAATTTGCTCTGTATGTATGTGTGTGTGTGTGTGTCTTGTGTGTATGTAGGGGCTTAAACAAGACCTTTTGATTGCATAATAAGCAGGGCTTAGGGACAATAAAATCTGACATTCTTAACTGTTACTAGTATTTGTCCCTATAGCCCTGTGCAGTTATCTTCTTATTAACAATGTAGAAGCCAGAGTCATAAACTGAGCATGTACCCAAGGCGCTACTGTAAATTGCAAATAGCATTCATGTGGTCTCTTTTGACCTAAGACTAAATTGGGATAGAAGGAAGAGAAAAAAGAATTTTTGAGAGTGGAATAGAAGTAGAAGTCAAGAACAAAGAATACACTAGAAGGATGGACATGTACAAATGTTTCCTAAGTTTTTGCTGTGAGATTTATTTAGATGGGTCTTTTCATATCTGCAGTACTCTTTTACTGAAGAGCCAAGCACTAGATTGGGGCAGCCTCTGCTGCTGGTGTGTGTGTGTGAGTGTGTGTCTGTGTGTGTGTTGGCGATAATGCACTCATGAGATAATACAAATAATCAGTGAGGGAATAATTAATGATGTGGCAGGGAATATTTTTTGATAAATGCTTGGGGAATGAGGTGACAGGCGTGAAATTAGAAAATTCCTTCAGCGATCTAAAATATAAATAGCTTTCGGAACTGAAAAGAGTTTCACAGCTGAAGATTTTATTGTGTTGAGAGGAAAAACTTTTTTCTCTCCCCCACTCCCTCCTCCTTTGCAAGTTGTTTGTCCATTCACAAAACAAATACTCTGAAGCCCAGCGCAGCTCATGGGAATAAATTTCAGGTCGAATTAGTACAGTTTCCTTGCTGTCAGGATGCTGGAATTAATGGTGTTTTGATGACACGAATTTTGAAGGGCAAACAAAGAAGCTGAAGGGAGAGAGACATGACTCCTTAGAAGCTTGGTCCTCCTCTCCCCCAGCCTCTCTTGTCTTCCCTGTCATCCGTCTGCCAATCTCCCTGTCCATGGTTAGTTAAAGGCGCTTTTTATCCTCTTTTCTTTCCCACAGAGTTTGCCAGATCCGGCCCGGTGCCTGGGTTCCAGGAGGACACGCTGCAGTTGGCCTTCATCGACTTGAGACAAGTAAGTCTTTGTGTTTTTGTTTTTTGTTTTTCTTTTAAGATGTGTGACTGAAGACCATCAGGTCTTAAGGAAAAGGGGAGGGGAGGGGGATCGGCGTTGGCGATTCACACTGGAGACCTAAGGGGTTTTCCCTGTGTTTGAGGCCACCTCTTTTATTTAGCTATCTGGGATCCTTAGCTATGGTGGAGTTAAAGGTTTTGTGGGTGGAAGGGAAGGCAGGAGGTGGGAGGAGGGACCCAGAATGTAGAGGGACTCAAGTGACCCTCAAGTGATGTGACCCATTGTGCTATAGTTGGCTTCTGCAGACACAGCAAAAAGATAGCTCAGCAAACCAATGCTAAGCAGGTGCACTGATGCAGAGGCTGCCTGCCCAGAGGACTTTTGTTTGCAGATAATGAGGGCAGTAGCATTTAAGAAAAATGAAATATTTTACATTCTGGATTGTTGGTTTGGTTTGTTGACTTTTTTCTGTTGCCTTAAGTCTTCCCATCCCCTCCTTTGTAGAATGCGGTCAGCCATGAGGGACTAAGTGGTCATTTTAGATAATTAGCAAAGGCCCTGACCAGTCATGCTAACCTGACAGGCAACCCTACTGAAGTAATGTGATGAAAGCTGGTACTTAGGTATACCTGAGCTTTGCAAGCCCATTAGATAGAAAGAGTCGTGCTATAGAGCTGTTGCTTGCAGATTGAAAAGGGCGGGTTGGTAGGCCTTGGTGGATTGGGTATAGAGGAGCAGTATGGGCGGGGGCCGAAAAAGGGAGAGAGTTAACTGGGCTCTGTCATCTCTTCACTCTGAAGATGGATGGGGTTGGATAGAAAGTGTGAATGAAGTAAGAATCAATGACTGATGCTTCTCTCCTATTAAAACAATCTTTTTTTTTTTTTGTCTGTTTTTTAAAAGGGCGCTGGCTTTGTTTCTCCTGCCATAATGATGCAGTGCCTCTTGTTTTCAGAGCTGACAAAGTTTGCATTCTGAGAACTTTTAGATGCCCAGGGTATTTCTTAAAGCTGTAGGACCCCTTGTATTGGTAGTCTCCTTACTACTGTGGCTCGATTCATGCTAGAACGGCTTTTAACCCATAATGGATGGCCTGAGCTGCCCCTGAATCCTTGTGGATGGGTGATGTAATCTGTCACCTGATGACAATTCTGGAAAGCCCTGTTAAGCAGAAAACAGAAAATTGTGCTCTAGAGACCCGCCAAAGTTTGAGGATTCAGGCCGCGTCCCAGAAACGTGTGTCAACTTAATATTTAGGAGTTGAGGTGGGGGTTCTCTTACACGTAAAGGCTTTCCCAGCATGGTCCCAAATGCAGCTGAGTACCTCTTTCCACACTTAACACCTTCCACCTGTGGATTCAGCCACTCAACCGAGATGTTCAGGTTTTAACCCCTTGGCTGATGTAAACCTGAAAGATTGGGATTTTGCTTTATGGTTTTGTGGAGCGGTATCTGCTTGACTTTCCCAGCACTGTTTCTTCTCAGAGACTTCTGAGCCAATTGGTGTTTCTTGGAAAGCAGAAATTGAATTTCATTGGAGAAACACATCCAAGGAAAAAATTTTCCCTTCTCACTCTTCATGGAAAGGAAGTGTGGTCATTCTCTCGAGTTTGTGGTTTTGGTCCCTATGGAAAGCAACTAGTGTTCACAGAAAATGTTAACTAAGGGAGTAAGTTAGAAAACACAGCCAAAATAAGGTGGATCTGAGCTGGGGATGAATGTTCAAGTACTTGTGAGCTCTCAGTGAGCACTGTTGCTTATGCTTAAGTTCCTGTTTTCTGTTACAGTTTTGCTCTGGGAGTTCCGATTACGAAGTTTTAGTAGTAGAAACCAAAGCTCCAAAATTTCACTGAGTCATGAAAGAATATGCCTCTTGCTATTGAATCTATCACTTAATTTCTGTTTATGTCTGTCTCTGTTAAAGCAGCTTACATTTTTCTTAGATCATTTGAAAAACTTGCCTAGCTCATTATTAGCAGGCCTCAGGTAGGTTGAATCAGTGTGACAAAAATTATCTTTCCACATCCCGTGCTGAAAATATTTATCTCTTGGCAGTTCATCTTAGTCATTCTCATAACTTAAAGTGACCATCATTTTTAAAGTGAGCAGCTAATGAACTATAAGAGATGTGCGGATTATAATAGAAAGTCTGGAAGTGTGGTTTCAAAGGAGATAGCTTGACCTCAAACGAGACATGACTAGGTGTCCTTGAGTATGTGCCCTTGTGCCTGTACTCTTTGCAATCCTAAAATAGAGTTATGGAATTTGGGGGCTGGGTGCTAATCTTAAAAATCATGTAATATAACCTTTGGCTTGATCCTTGGAATCCCTGTACAGCACCCTAGACTGTGCTTGAATATTCTCCTTGAAGAGAACTTGCTTCCCCAAAGCAGCAGGGTCCACCTCAAGACAATCTGATTATAAGAAACGTATTTCTTAAAAAAAAAGAAACGTATTTCTTAAGTTGGCTAAAATATGTCTCACTTAACTTTGACCCTTTCACTCTTTGTATTTTTATTAATGCACTCCAATTTGGGGGACAGGCTTTCTATCCTGATTTATTGAGCTTCCATCTGCTAGTAATTGAATCTTTTTCACGTGTAGCATTGTTACTCATTCCATATCTAGTCTTTATGTGGTTGATTTTATACACCACAATTGAAGACTTTACTCTCTTTGGTCTGCGTTTTCCTTTTTGACATTCTATTAACAAACCAGATTTTAATCATTCTTATTTATTTAGCCTGTCTAAGCCTTTTAAGCCTTTTAAGGTCCTGACTCAGTTATCCACCTTACTACCTGATTTAACCATTATGCCCTTTATAAGTCAAAGATAACAATATTAATCAGGAATGGCCGAAGTTAAAGGAAGAAGTTGAAGTTAAGGCAAGTTATAGGATACATACGCGCACCCATGCAAAAAGGGGATTTGTCCCCAGTTCAGTGCAGCAAGGATATTCTTTTACTGTCATTGAGTGTATTTTCTTCATTGGTTTATGAATATATTCATTCTGATCATGCTTTCATGTTCTTTTGCTTTACAGTGTTTCAGGCTCTATCAATTGAATGACAATTTTTAAAATATTCAAAACATGGAATATTTGATGAACTCATCTCTGTATAGACTATAATAGCAGAGTGTCATTTAAAAGCCATAGAATTTTATTAGGAAGCAAATTAGATGTGGATAGCAAAACTATTCATCCTTTCTGAGCCGTCCTGTCTATTCTAATTTTTCTACTTCTTAAGGAAAAAAGTGAAATGACATTTTGAATACACAGGCTTTCATGATATTTTACACTTTTATAGCACGTCAAAGTTAAAGTATATTTACCTACATAGTTCATTTGTCAGGTTTCTGGGTTTAGAAAACCAGCTGTTAATGTGAATTAGTGCAAATCAAAATCTTCTTCTTTGCCACTTTATAATTTCTATATTCCCAAGCTCATAAAAGTACGATGGGTGCAGTACAACTTCACATTCATGTATCAAATCTATGTGCATATTTCTATGAAAATCCAAATTTGGGTTAATGCTAAATCTTGAGAAGGACAGCTTAAAGGCTCACTTATTAACTATCTTGAAGTAGCATTTATATTCCAAGTACTGATAATTGCTGGCCCTTAATGGTTCATAATTGAGAATAACAACACAAGGCCAAGAGTAGATCCTCAGTAGTTATTTGATTCTTAAGCAGTACTATGGTTTGTATTTTCTTCTGTTGTTAAACATTAAGTAAATTATGCTGATGAACACCGGAATTTGAACTTCAGATGATTTTCATTTCAGTTTATCAAACTCTGAGTGCCTACTGTGAACAAAGCACAACTTAGGTGTTGTGGGAATACGCAAATGAATATAATACAGTCTCTGCCCTCCAGTAACAAAGAGGTGAACAGCAGATACTTGATTCTAATATAAGGCACATATGATTAAGTATTTCATTGGAATGCTAAAACAACTGTGTATGTTTCAATTATTGCAACAGCTTTTGCTGCATAACAAATCACCCAAAAACATTGGCTTAAAACAAGAACCATTTATTTAGCTCAAGTTTCTACAGATTGGCTAGGTTCAGCTGAGCTCACTCATACTTTGAGATCAGCTGCCGGATGGGCTCTGGCTTGCCTGAGGTCGCGTGCCTTAGCTCAGTCGACTCTTCTCTGCTCCCTGTGATCTCGCACTAGCCAGCAGCCCAGTCCAGGCTTATTCACGTGGCCTCCTGGCAGGGTTCCAGGAGAGCAAGAGGAAGTGTGAAAACCTCTTGAGGCCCATGCTTGAAATATCACTTCTTCCACATTCTGTTGGCTAGAGCTAGTCACAAGGCCAGCCCAAATTCAAGGAATGGGAAAAGGGACTCCAACTTACACTCTAGTTGGAATATAGGACTTTTATATAATCATGTGACATAAACAATGCAAATCAGGAGCAAGATTGAATCTCTAAGTACAAAAAATGGCCATGAAGTACAGAGGTCTTTGTAGGCCTGAGTAGTTATAAAATATTTCATGGAAAATGTGGAGAGTTAAACTGAGAAGAAGTTAGGTGTTGATTAGGGGTAAAGGTATTTCAAACATGGAGAAGAGCTGGATTTAAGTTTTGTGTGTAAAAATGTGTGTGCGTGTTTGTATGCATGTGTCTGTGTGTGTGTGTGCATGTGTGTGTGTGTTGATTTAACCAGGATCTAGACTGTTTTGCCACCTTTAAGTATTAAACTAATCTCTTTAAATCCCCTTTTCTTAATTTCTCTTCTTTGTTCTTTGCTTTTACTTTCCAGCTTCTCCATGGGCCTCTTTTTTATGTCCTGTATCTCCTCATCAAATGCTGCTTATTACAGGCTACCCTGAAACACTTCACATTTCTGTTTTTCCATTCATTGTGAGAGAATCTTAACTTCCCCAGATAATTATTACATTATTTATTAAATTTTAGCTGTTCACCTTCCATGTCTGACCAACAGGAAGAGGTTTGAATATGTTCTTTAGAAACGTTTCTGTTCC